TTGTTTCCTCTTTTGATATGAACAATTGTACGGGGTGATGGAACGAAAAGCTGCCACCGATCGGGAGTACAGCATTGGAGCTCGAGTTTTGGCGTGAAAAGCATAAAACACCATCTGCTTGCTGCATAATCAAGCCCAARACTTGGCATCCAACCTCAAAAGAGGAAACAAAGTACTTTTGAAGCTCTTGGGCAAACTTGGCGCATTGCAATGAAATGTTGAATGCATGGATCCACGAATCGTTTTCATACTCCACATGCTCCTCGATGGAGTGTACATTGATGTTCATTTCCGAAAAGAGATTGAAAAATTGCAACAAAAGCTTAATAATTTCGGGCTTTTGGGGTTCCCCCAAATCCTCATATCTGGAGTCGTCAATTATGTATCTCAAATCTTGAAAAGGATGGAAGTATCTTCTGTTTTTAATAAAAGGCGAAGTGAATGTGAATGTAGAGTCAACATATGCCTCTTTAAATCCGTTTATACTGCAGCTTAGGATTTTAACAAAAAGATTGTGGCTTTTAAGCAGCTCAAGGACAATGGAGGGAACCGTATATAGCTGCACAGAAAAAAAGATTATCGAATATTCAGCCTCAATATCCTGCGAAAGAAAGGACTTCAAAACGGTAGGATAACACTCGGTAAAGCAAATKCCAAGCTTCAGCTTGAAGTAATAAAACTTAAGCATCGAGTTCATCAAGAAAGTCTTCAATGTGGATCTCAGCTCCTTCCAAAGCAGTGGGTCGGACAGTATTAAATAGTGCACGATCGACATGTTTTCACTGATGCAGGGAAAATCGTTGCTTTTCTTAATTTCCTCCAGAAAGGAGACCGAGTTTATAAATTCAAATGATTCCTTGCTAAAAAGGCGAGATGACAAGTAAATTTGAAGCCAAGGCTTGGAAGGTAAGATGTCGGTAATGATGGAAATGATTGCAGCACAAAACTCCTCAACATATACAACATTGCTTGGCAGAACAAGACAACGGAGACCGGAAAGAGAAACAAGAGATCTGTCCGTTACACTTTTTGTGAGATCTTCTCTAACGCTAATGGTAGCTCGACCCTAATTGTGAGCAGCATAGAGAATGGCACCTTTTTATCCACAATTTCAGCGAGCTCCCTTCCCTTAGGACGAGGATAGCCGTAAACCTGGCTTAGTATTCGGATAACATCGTCAAATGAATGCAGTTCATCATTATATAGCAAAGTACTGTAGAACCCATCGCCGCAGAGGAAAGAGCAAACAGCGGCATCAAGGTTGCCAAAAGAAGATCCAATTATTTTTTGCACCTTTTTGTAATCAAAATGAGCATAGTATAAAGAAAATATTGGAAATAAAGACACAAATGTGACAATTAAATCAAGCGTTTGGCTGGGACGAATCGAATCTAAAAAGTCCGAAAATCCAACCAAGCACGACGCATTCGAATCAAATGCTTCCTTTGAGTGCACAGAGCATTTAAGATCAACATTCCATGCCTCTGAATCTCCACAGTCACAGCAACCTCCACTGCTGCAGGTGATGGAATACGAGATCTCGTGCCCAGCATGGTCATCTTCATTGAAGCATTGTGCACAAAACACACATGTGGGATCCCGACCACACTCTCTAAATCCAATAGCAAATGAAAAATACCTGCAACGATAAATGATATCCCCCTTGTTGAAAGGAAATCCGCATATCTTCCCTCGTTCCTCAAATTTGACGAATGTATCTACGGTTGCAGATAAGGGGGTTTCCTTATCAATCAAATCAGTTATAAAAGTAGATAGTTTTTGGAATGTTTCCAAAGAAAACACCCTATTGTCACTTTTATATCTATCAGAGAGGAAACGAAGTAGAGATTCCCTATAGCAATTCTCATGATTCATGTTCTTCAAACTTAGAACAAAGCTTAAAGAAATAAACTCGAGTTTATTTTGTAAAATATAAATTTTTGTTCTCAATTAAGATTTTCAATGTGGTCGAACACAACCCAGTCAACTCGAATTCGTCAACATAGGTGTTTTTCCTAA